TTTGAGTGCTCCTCACACTATTGTATTAATATATTTTGCTTTGGCTTTATTGATACAATATCAGAAAGCACTCTGTTTTGCGGATATAATCGTGTGGGCTGAAGAAAAGATTATATCTTTTTTTTCCCGGTTTTTTCTTCCGGTTTTTTAATTAACATTTAATTTTTTTTTTTTTTTTTTTTTTTTTTTTTAAATAAAATGTTGTTTGTTGTTTTTTTACTTATTATTTCCCACCCCCTTTTTTTCATATGTCTATAATTTTTCTTTGTTTTATTCTTCATTTTGAACTTATGTATATATATATATATGTATATATATATGTATATATATATAATATAAAAATGAGCAATACATCTATGACCCCTCGAGAATGATATATTATAATTATGATTAACTAAGATATTCATTTCGATACAACTAAATAAATATCTAAGTTAAATCAGACAGTTTCTAGGCCCGAGCAGTTTAGATTCAACAGGCCTTCGAATCTTAGCTTCCCGATATTACCTTCCCTTCCCCTATGAACAATGCGCAAAATTATAAAAGGAGACCCCTGAATAATTTTTAATCTAATGATCGGATCTTCACGTTCCTGGACTCAATCTTAATGGTTCGAGGGGTGACATTCTAATTCCATTAGAGCAGACTATATTTTAAGTCACGAAATCAGAGACAAGAACATGCTTTCCCTGAATAAAATGCCTTTTTCTTTGACAGAATCGGATTCGGAACCCCAACATGGCCGCAATTCAATTATTTAGTTAGGAAAACCATCCAAAATTTGGACTCCTTGATGCTAATTTTACTTTTTAAATATTTTGCCATATCTCGTGAACTTTTTAAATGAACTGAAATTATTTTGCACAAAGTTATAAGATTCTTTATCCAAAAATGTCCATGCAAAAAGATTTCTTACTAAATACTTATTTATTTTTTTATTTTTTAGTTAAAAATAGCGGAAAATTTTTTAAATTGTATGGTAATACAATTTTTACATCATATTATTGTAATTTTACAGGGTAAAATCGGTTGAATAGATCGGGAGAAAACGAATTTTGAAAAAGTCGAATTTCTGAAACTCGATAATATTTTTAAAAGTCGTATTTTTTTTTATTCATTTGTTTAATTATTTTTTTTAACTTTTCCAGAGAAAGCGTTACAGAAAACTACCGCATCACAATAAGAAATTGGAAAAAAAGAACTACAAAACAGGCCAAAATAAAACCGCAGTGAATGGAGCAATATAAAATAAATAGAACAATCGTGACGGTAAGAAAATTTATGAACCTAAAATGTCACTTTTGCTTAAGTAAGGTTCGCGCACAAAAAAAATCTACCATTAAAGTGGCGAATTAAAAAAAATCATAACTTGCTGTTTGTAATGTTTGGTAAAAAAGAAAATAATGTGCAAATTTTTTTAACTAAACAAAAATTAATTAAAATTATGTTTCTTTTTTTTTTCTTCTTCCAAAAAATTTATGATTCTGACAAAACAACATCCTCCAGTCAAAGAAATTCTTGCGCAAAACGTTGACGTAAATTTTTCTTTTTTCATTTCGAGTATTATGCTACAGATTTTTTTTTTAATTTCTGAATCTGGCACATGTCTAATATTTAAATATTTCTAGATCTGACAATAGTCTAATATTTAAACTTAATATAATCGGAAAAAAAAAGAAACTAGAATTAATTTTATGCTGGTAATTCACGAGTCTATGCATGTCCTTCTTTTCCTTTATTCTACGTTGCATCTTTTTTTTCTCTTTTCGTTTGTTCATTTGTCACTAAATTTTATTTTGTTTTATAGATCGACCAATGCAAAGCGTCAAAGCAACCATTTTTCCCCTTCATATTATTGTTGTCCAATAATTTCAATCCGAACTTCCAACCATGATAAGTAGTGGAACTCTTAATGTTCGTTTACCAAATATTAAAATAATTATAGAATATTAATATATTATAATAATAGTAGAGTATTAGAAATGATCTCTTTCTATGGTTTTATAATAAATGTCGAAAACTTATAATTAAAATATGGTAGCTATGTAAAAACAAAATCACTGAAAAGAATCTTCGTACACTAACAATAACAGTAAATTCGGTACAAATGTTATGAAAGTGTATTTCAAGGTTATAACAAATAAATAAATTAGAAGAAAGGTAAAAGTGGAAAAGTATAGATTAGTCAACTAAGGCGTTTTAATTATGTTATGAATCATCATTTTACTTACTCTATGATTGCTAATTTACAAGTGTTTGGGCTAGTTTGTCCAATGCTAATCTTAAATAATAAAGCTGTACATTTAATCCAATGTTAATTGCAGATAATTTGCAAAGTTACTGCTAGATATTATATATACAACCTTAATCAGATGTAATAAAATAATTTAGACTTGTTGCTGTGCTGTCGATTAAGTCTCTTGTTAATTGTTAATAATAAAAAAGTAATTGTCAGAGATTATATGCCTAACTTTTATTAGATACAATAAAATACTACTACTACTTTTTGCTGTACTGCAACAAGTTTCATTTATGCTCTGAAGTGATATTTTATCAATTCTTATTTATTCTTGGAAAGTTAGGATGAAAGTTTTGAAAAATGAAATTACGGTATTGATAACAGTATAAGAAACAGATTACAGTAAAAAAACTTTTATTGGCTAGTAATAAATATTTCGTAGTATCTCGAATTCCATTCCTAATCATAATTTTTTGAAAATTAAAGATAATAGTTTTAAAAAAAATGTAATGATATTAATTTTAAGAATTGGTATTAAATATTCTTAAAAAATTGGTGATAATAATTCTGAAATATAAAACTTAAAGTATTGATAGGATCTAGAAAAATATTCATCGGCAATCAATGATAATTAGATTAACCGGATTAATAACCGGGTAGAAATGTTAGTACCATTGCCCGGTATTCCCTAAATTTAAGGGTTTTTTTAGTAAAAGATTGCCCGGTATTCACTAGCCCAGTTATTTCCTATACTATTTTTTTTTGTTAATAAGGTTAATTTCAACATTTAACATCCGGAATATACATCCGGTATATACATCCAGAAGAAAAAATTAAGAAAATATATAACTCAAAATAATAAATTATTAACTTTGTCCTATCACAAATTCCTTTTTTAATATACATTGCCTTTAATACTCTGAAATCAAATCAAATAACATAAGTTATGGAAATTTACTTTTAAAATTGCTAACCAGTATCAACTCTTGCTATCAGTATCATTTTTTTTAAAATTTTAAGTGGAATCAATCCATCAATTCAAGGTAAACAAACATGGATAAAAGAAAAACAAACAACTTTGCGTTTACTTACGAATAGAATATTCTGCCAATCCATAAGGAACTGTTGAATCCCTCCTTACTAAATGGCAGACAGGGATTTAGAATAATTCTTTTGGGTTTTTATAAGTTTAAGGAACATCTTCATAGCCCCAGGTTAATTTATTCAATTCCATCGATTTAACATGCAAGTCTCAACTGGTGGTCAGAAGGGCTTGGGTATTTTTTACCACAAAAAGATTAATGCTAAAGCCAAGGACTAAGCAGCTTTCTTTAACGGTGATATCGTACGTGACATCAATAATTCAGGGGGTGTTGGTGACAATTTAGAATAAAATGTTTGGGGGGAAGGGATGATGGGTGTCATCTTCGATGTCATTTTTTAGTGGAGATTTGTGTGAATTACCGCTTCCAGGAAGGATTTTTTTTTCCCTTTCTTTCTTTGGATAGATATTTCGTAAAGTTGATAGGGTTAGAATTTTCTTTTTCGAACTTGTGTTATGCATGCTGAGGTACAAATGATACCAAATATGATGACTGGGAATTCTGTTTTGATAACTTTATCGAAATTTAATATCAGTTTGGTGGTCAAGGTTGTATTTTTAAAATATGTCTGCCCTAATGACTGCTTTTTTTTCTTCTAATTTCTTATCAATGTTCTATATCTTTTGAAATATTTAAAGTTGAAATATTTAAAGTAGAAACAGTTTTAATTTTATTAATTAATATTCTTGCAATGTAGAACAATTCTGAAAATTAATTTTTATTTTAAAAAAACCAGGAAAGTTCAAAAATTAATATTTACGTTTAATTATAAATAATCTCTTAAAACGAAATTGATGAAAAATTCTTTAGGTATTAGAAACGAGATAATGAGCTATTAATGGTGCATTGGATTTTGTATAGAAAAGATTCGTGAAATTCCGTTAAATATTTTTTGCTAAAAAATAAATAAATAAACAGAAACAATTTAACTTGATTTTAGTTTCATTTTAGTTCACGCGTGTTCCGTGGTAACATGACTCTTATTTAAAAATTAAAGCAATTTTTGGTTATTTGAGTCCCTTTACTCATAAATAAAAAATCTGCAACTGTTTGTTAAAACAAACAAAAATTAGAATAAAATGAACTTCTCCTTAAAATAAATTAATATTAAGGTTCAGGGACGAATTGTCTTTTGCCGGTTTGAGAAATTGTTTTAAAAAAATACCTTTTTAAAATAAATGTCTTTGTATCTGTCTTCTGCTTCGTATCGCAATATTTCGCCCCCATTTAATTTTGGATGGGGCAATAGAATGTTAAGCCAAGTGAGACATTTCTACAGCTTTTATGTAGTATTATTTTCAGAGAGGTACTTAGCAAAGTTTCCACAGAGGGCAATAAGATGTTTCTATACATGAATATATCTTATTACTTTCATAGAATACATTAACTCTTTCATCCAAAATCCTCTCCTGAACAATTTGAAAGGAATGTTCCCCAAACCCTTTATAACTATCCAAGGAATTATACGCGCGTTTAAACGCATTCTTCAAATCCCTCATTATTTTGATTTCTTGAAAAAATTGAACAAGTGAAACTTCTTTGTATGTATCCATTCTTTGTTGAATAACATTTTACATTGGAATTTATACTATTTATATACTTTGAATACGATAATATATTCTGTAACAACCATTTTTACATAGAAATTTGATATCAACTCATCGTACTTTGGATAAACTCGTATATTCAAAAGTATTTTTCTAATTTTCTTTTTTAAAAGCTTTTTTTTAATAAAAGTTTCCGCATTTAATCGAAAATAGTCATTTTTTTAACATTTACAACAAAGTCGAGCTCATATATATTTCTTTCAAAAAAATTCTCTTTAAAAGACAAATTTTGACTTTTCTGTTACAGAAAACTATAACTTTATTTTAAAAAAATTCTTCTCCTATTATGAGTGCTAAGTAATCATTAAATTGGTGTATCGTAACACTGCAAGTATTAAAGAAATTGAGTGAATTAAGAATTTTGATATAAAAAACGACTTCATTTCAAGAATAGTCATAAATTTTATTAAACACTACTTGTTCATATTGAATTTTAAAACGCATATTGAAGAATGAATTGTTGAATCAAATCACTCATCTGAGAAATTTGACAGGATTAAAAATAAATTGAAATTGTTTCATATATCTTTCTTTTAATTATAATGTATGGTTTAATCATCGCAAGCAGATATTGGCTTGATTTACATTTGTGCTTAGAATAATATTAAGAATACTTTAAATTCATTTAAGTTTTGTATGTAGTGGAATTTAATTATTCAACTTGTTTAAACTAAAATTCCAATAATAACGCATAAATGTTGGTACAAATATAAAATCTATTAAAAAACTCGAGAGCAAAATTAGCTATTTGAAGTAAAAGAAATAATTATAATTTAATATTTATCAAGAGGATAATGATATACTTGTATATGTATTTGTAATTTGTGTTGTTGTACTAATGTTTTTTTCCATTGATTTTCCACAGCTATTTCTACTGTTTAGTAAGTAAGCTATGTTCCGACGCTATACAATTACTTATTAAATTACAAGATTTTTTCCCTTCCAAACAGAAACTCTGCTGTGAATAATTGCACATTAGTTCAACATCAGCTCTTCATTACAGTTGTGCGCATTATTCTAATTTTTTTTAACTTCATTTTTGGGAAAATTTAATTTATACACATTAAATCATTTGAACTCTATATTTTTTTATTAAGGAGAAAATTTGATTGGAAAATGCTAATGGTAGAAATTTAAACCATTTTTTTGAAGTTATTAATTAATTAGTAATCGTTTTAGACCATCCAGTATGAAAAACCCCAAATAAAAGAAATCTAAATGTTTTCAATTTTATCAATTAAAAGCATAAAATGAACAGGCTGATAGAATTTTATATGAACGAATATTTATTGCTATGCATGACATGTACAAAGTATACTAAACGTACAACACATATAAAATTATACAAAATATATATTAACGTGGATCACATAATATTGACTGTCCATTCATTTTGAAATGAAAATATAGCACCGAAAAATATATTAAAGTTCTTTGATTTTTATTTCACTAAAATTTGTTCAACTTCTTGTTGCTGTACAACAGGCCTGGTGATAACTGATTTCAGTATTCCAGAATCTGGTGCATCATAAGGGTACTGTGACAAAAAGGACATTCGTGGTAAATATCCTCCGAGATTCGATCTTCCAAGACCAGATGCTATATTTTCTTGAACGATGGCATCAGCTATATTTTGTTGAGCTAGTGCTCCACCACTTTTTGTTACTTCTGTTACTTTACTCAATTCACCAGTTAGAGGATCGGATACGATTGATTCTTGGACCTGAGTTACACCTCCAAAATCATCGACAGCTACTTGAGTTTGACCGCTTCCTAGAGGATCTACCAAACTTTGCACAGTTTGGCCGAGCGCAGAATCTCCAAGAGTTTCTTGGATCGCACTTTCGAATGGGTCTTGTGATACTTGAGCAATTTGGCTTGTTGTTCGGAGTCCAGTAAATGGATCTTCTTGCTGCACGATTGTGGTTGGTCCTGCGCCAATCCCAGACAGTCCACCAGCAGCAAGACCTCCGATCTTTGTTGGTCCAGCTGGTTGAGTGACGGTAGTAATAACTTGAGGATCTCCTGCTGGTCCAACAACTTCTTCCTGGGTTACAATCCTTGGACCTGATCCCTTAAGACCTCCTACTCCCAAACCACCACCACTTGCGAGTCCTCCAATTTTAGATGGAATTAAATTATTTGAGTCAGTTTCGGTGATTGTTGTAATAACCTGAGAATCTCCTGCTGGTCCGATGACTTCTTCTTGGGTTACTACTTTAGTTGGAGAAGTGCTACCAATACCTTTGAGTCCTAATGGGCCAGTGGACAACAATGAACCTCCTTTAAGTGATAATGGATTTAAACCCATATTTGCAAATCTGGATGTGCTTATAGGAAGTTGGGTGTAGCCCAAACGTGGATCGCCGATTCTGCTTCCTCCAATAATATCAATACCTGGGAATCTACGACCTCCATCAACGTAAATAAGTTGAGGTCTTCGATTTCCGAAAATACTTCTTCCAAATCCAGCATCCGTTTTGATTTGAGATATTTGAGGAGCGGCAGTAATGATAGGAGCTTGAGCAACGACACGAGGAGCGGCTAAGACACGAGGAGCAGCAGCAATTACTGGAGCTTGAGCTACAACTCGGGGAGCGGCAACTAATCGGGGAGCAGCTGCAATCACTGGTGATGCACCACCAATAATCTGATTACCTCCAAGTGTAAATTGAACATTTCCAAATCCTGGGCTTCCGAGTGCAACTCTTGGTGCTACAGCAACTGGTGCAGATCTTGCTAGTGTTACAACCCTGGGTCTAGCAATTTGTGAAAGGAAAGTGTCTACTGGTCTTCGGGCAAAAATTGGAGCTTGTGCAGCTTGGATAACTCGAACCGGAGCTGGGGCAGCTTGAATGACTCGAACTGGAGCTGGGGCAGCTTGAATGACTCGAACTGGAGCTGGTGCTGCTTGAATGACTCGAACTGGAGCTGGTGCGGCTTGGATAACTCGTACGGGAGCTGGTGCGGCTTGGATAACCTGAACTGGAGCTCTAACAATTGGAGCTTGTACGGATTTTGTGACAGCAACTTGGCGTTGGCCAAATCCTCCAATTGGTGCTCCCAGGCCTGATGATCCGATGGTAGCTACGACAGGACTTGATTTTACTCGTCTGAGTCCCCCAAGTCCGCGAGCTCCAATTAGTCCACCATTTAAGATAATTTGTCCACCAGATAGTCCTCCGGTAGTCTTGATAGCACCGGGTGAGCCCAAAGCAATTGTACCAAGTGGTGAGGCGGCTTTTTGTACTGTAGTAACTCTTTTTGTACCTCCAAGAGGATCAGATTCGACGATTGTCACCTTTTCTTGTCCAACATTGTCGAGGAGGCCTCCTTGAATTTGAGAGTCACCAGCAGTAAAAGCAGATCCTCCAGTGAGAATGTTGGCCTGTCCGAATCCTAAATCATCAGCTAGTGCTCTTTGTGTCAACAGTTGTCTAGGGTATGAATAATAATCTGATCCCATTAATCCATAGGGTACAGGTGAAAGTCCCGAACGGTAGAGAGGACGTCTTAATCCGAAAACATTTGTTTTAATTTGAGCATCTCCAACAGAGAATTGAGATGTGCTTGGGTCAGCAATTATGGTTCTGCCTCCAAATCCTACTGGTCTTAGGCCGGACAAGTTATCAGACAAGATCGATTTCCTTCTGAGTCCTCTGGGTGCAGTAAGTAAAGAAGTAGGATAAGATCCATAATCCATACCTAAGAGTCCATATGGTACTTGAGACTGACCAACTCGGTAGATTCCTCTTCCAAAAGGATCATCTCCAACAGCTAATTGAACAGAACTCGCTCCTAGTCCACTCCCTTTAACTCCACCACCAATGGGAGAAACTTTTTCAACCACCACTGGAGCACCCGAATAAGGATCTTGTACTACAGCAGCATGATGTAGAGCTCCGCCACTACCTAAAATTGCAATTAAGCATATAAAAAACATTGAAAGTTTTAACTTTTGTAAAAACATAGCGGTTGGCTCAAAGATGCAATATAAGTTTTAAAATAAACTGTTGCAGGAACATTTTAAGTATTTGCTCACAACTTCTTGAGTACGTCGTAACCATATGAATAAAAATGATAAGCGTTTTGGAAGGAACGAGCATCCCTTCATCAGGCGCTAGAGTGAGACTTATTTTTACGCCTGATTACGTGGTGCTCGTTCCTACAGAAACTCGTAGCTTTGTATTTTCTGGTTATGGTGTATTTAAGAAATTATGACAACATTTTTCTATGAAGTTTTAAAAATGAGAGCTGCGGTGACGAACTCTATCGCCATTTTGATTAAAAAGAATCTATTATAATAAGCTGATAAAAAAATAATTGAGTATTGTGGGTAATATATTGTTCATAATGGTGTTATAGTAATGATAGATATTACGGATATAAAATTGATTGATTTTGAGTATTTATATGGTATTAAAGGTTACTAAAGATATTAAAATATAAATATTCATATCATATGTGTAGATTAAAAACTAAATGTGGAGATTATCTTTCCTAATTATCCATCCGATTGGTTGCTTATCATATTTCTAACTTTTAAAAACAATTTTAATTCATTTAGTGAATATAAACTAGATAAATTATTTTAATTCTTTAAAAAAACAATTATTAATTTGTTTTTACTACTCTTTAATAACTTTATATATCAATATGAAATTTTCTTAGCCTTTTACTTGACTAATAGACTATTATTTTGCAGTAGGGGGAAAAGTGCTTTTATGACTGTTGTGGTTACGGGTTTGCACATAAATTGTATAAATATTTTATTCAATTAACAACCAGTTTTGTTATATAGTTTAGCACATAGACAGAGATGCCAACTTGCTCCGGACATCAAATAAATATTTTCGAATGGTAGTTAATTAATATGTCATTCTTGTTTTAATAAATTCAATTTGTTAGGTTTTTATCTACCACTATTTCTAAATAATCCAAAAGCTTATATAATTCGTCACTTTTTAACATTCAAGTAATGCGACACCGTTCAAAAAGTAAGCAAAATTCGTCGAATATTTACAAATTTTAGTTTGTAGTTGTTTACTATTTTTTAAATTATTATGGAGCGTCCGGAGCAGTTGGCATCACTGCATAGATTTTAAAATCACAAAAAATATAATTTTATATTATTAATATATTCTGGTTAATGGTAATATTCCGCTTGGGGATGTAAGTGTTATGAATTCAAGATTTGAGTTGCTAGTCTTTAACATGTTGAAAAAAAGACTTGTTCTTAAAATAGAACATTGGCACTTAAACGATTAAAAAAACATTTAAGAAAAAAAATTTTTAAGCTAAAACTTTCAGAAGGCGTTTAAAGTTTTTATAAAATTTACTTTGTATACATTTAAAAAAAAGATAAGAATTAATCTAAAAGTTTGAAAATTAAAACGTATATTTAAGAAAAAAGTATATCATTCATCTCACTCGAAGTTATTAATCAATTTGAAAAGTATTTAATTTAATTAATTTGTCAAAAATCGCAACTATTTATTATAGTGCCTTGTGTTTTAGCGCAATTAATCAATAATATAAAATTGAAATGTAAAACATTTTATTTTAACTCATGAAATTTGAACTATCTGTAATGTTCTAGACATTCTTATTTTGCAAAATTTTAACTCTAGCACAATTATTTTAAACATTTTATGTCAAATTTTGAGATTCTAGAAAAGAAAGTTTTGAAAATTCATTTAATCTTATTTAACCTCTTCATACAGTTATTTTACCAATTTCTTAAATGCAACAGTAGTAAAGAGAAAACTGCCTTTACGAAGAAGATGGTCGAATATTTGCATTTACACAAAGATATTTCCTAATATTAAAAACCATTTTAGAAACAAGTCGCATTCGAATGAAAAACAATCTATATAAAGCTATTTATATTTATAGAGCATGATAATTATAATATATCTTGGTTTAGAAGTATGTTTTAACGCATTTATGACTAGCGATTTTTTTAAAAGGGCAGTTCTTATTTTCAAAAACGAAAGAAGCGGTAGTACAAATATTTTAATATTATGATTTATTTCAAATGAACTAGATAGTTCTATTTGTTATAACATATTAAATATAAAAATATTATTTATACTTGGATTTGAAATCTTGATACTGAGCAATTTTAAAGGTGAAGTAGTATTTATCAGAAAGTTGTGCTACCACTTTTTATTACCTAAGTATTTCTCATATATAGATCACATTCTACTGCTAGACATTAATAAGTTAATTGCGCAAAGTAAGGGGCCAGATTACGTGCAAAGTCAAAATTAATGGTAATTACATTGCTGCTCTTTATCCTACTTGCTCAAACATGTTCTGAAAATAGTGATATTTGTGTCCAACGTTGTGTTAAATCAGTGGAAACTAAAAGTTAACTTTTAATTAAGTATCAATTCGTCTACGCCAATCTATCACATACAATTTTTTTTTCTTGAATAATAGTGGTTGTATCATCTTTTATTACCATTTCTCTTGATTAGGCAATGTTAATTCTTTAGATTATGTTGTATTCACCATAATTTATTTTTATTAACTTAAAAGTAGGTACATAATTATTCTAATATGCTTCATTAAAAAACCTGCAGTGGTTGCTAATCGAAAAGAAATATTTACATAGTTTAAATATAAACGTGTTACCGTTTTTTTTTAAATATCATGGCTACCAAATCTCTCAATATCATCAAATGATTTTCTTTTTTTTGTATAAAACGATAATAAAATTTATACTATAATAGTTTTATTTTGAATTAAAGTTATTTATAGTGATTTTTTCCACCACTACTTTATGAATAATTTAAATAAATGCATGAAAAACCTAAAATTATTCTTTAAGTTACTATAACTATCAAAAACGACACGGCTTCCAACCACCATGAGGGCGATAGGCTTTAGCTCTCAGAATATTTGGTATTTTTACCAATATTTTAAAAGTCTAAATATGATAAACCACAAAGTGGCGTTTCGTATGAGCCTTTGAATCATTTAAATTTAGTGGTGTGAAAAATAAATTAGTATCAAATCACACCGTAAAACATGAACCCAGATACCACAGGAAAAAAGCTTCCTAAAAAGGATAGAAAGTTAGCAACCCTGCGAGTCTTCATTGAAAATAGTAAAAATAGCAGCAGCTTTTAAATAAGAGCATTTTTAACGTTTCTGAATCATGAAAATTCTGCCGTACATGATTATTTTCCGATTTTAAATAAAAATCTTCCAATAACAGAAAAAGTTTAAAGCTACTGCATCTACCCACTAAGTAATTAAACATCGGCCGTCAAATTGTGAATTAATTATATTTTTTTGCAGCAAGTGTCCTTTAAAATAATTAAAATGACTTAATGTTAAATTATAATCTCAAATAGACAAATTATTATTGGTTTTCAAATTTGAGATTTTAGTAGTGACTTAACATTTGGTCTGAAGAAATACTTAATGTGTTAACTTACCACCTTTTCCTACATGAACATGAGGTCCCTAAAAAAAGGAATGCATTTTAAAAGGTTTGAAAATAAAGTAAAAAAATTATTCTAAAACTAAATTTTTTGAAAAATATTTAATAATAACGCGTTGTTATTCGTTGCTTGTATTTTAATACTTGGAGTATAAATATTTGTTTATTTTAGCAGGATTTAATTTTTTTCTTTCTTAAAAATTGTTGTTATAAATATTTTTGTTTTATATATTTCAGTAATATATCAATGATTCTAGTATTCATAAAAACACATAAGTGAAATATAAATTTAAATTCCGAATAATTAGTTTAAAGCATATAACAATTAAAATTAGCGCCATCTGTCTTATAACTTGAACAATAGGTTTTTTACAGAAGTTCTATGTGTATCCGATAGATGGCACTATTTACGATAAACTCAGTTCCTTTAAATTTACACGTTTCAAGTTTCAATCGTTAATGAAAAAGATATATAATTTCAGTTTAAAGACTCATTGCTTTTATAATTAACTAAAAATATTATAAATAACAAGTATAAAAATTTATAAAAAATATAAAAAATTGAGAAGTTTTATAAATTGTCTTGCTCTAATTTTCCTTTTACATATCGTATATTATATGATAGTTCTATTTAACTCCGACCACATTAATGCACACATTTAAATTTTATGCAATTATCTTGGTAGTAGTCTTGAATTGCACCATTTTTAAAGCAAAAATTACAGTTTTCTCTGCATTTGATTTAAAATATTTTTAAAAAGAAAAGTAAATGCTTAATTGTTTTTAGTTACTGAATTCTAAAAATTCTAGCAAATTAAAACTTTTTTCTGTTGATATTATTATCACTTAAAAATTATTTTTATCTCTACAAAGATTTACTGTCTTTCAATCTCATGATAACATAATTTTTGGTTCAAAAATTTTTAGCATTATTTAATGATTGTAATTTAGATGCATTTAGATAAGTAAACATTAATTGACATTACATTCTTTTTGAAAATATTTACATTTCTATTTAAATTGAAGAAAAGATATTGAAATTGTTTCGTAAAACCATATGGTTCGTTTCTGGAATAATTTTTTTAAAAAAGAAAGGAGATTGAATAATTACTTATAATCCATACTTATTTATTTCAAAATAAAATTATGTCAAAATTTCAAATATTCGAAACCTACTCATCAAATTTGCATAATTAACGCATTTTGAATTAAAATTTATCTTTAATTCTATCTCATTAACTAACCAATTAATATTGTTTAGCTTTTACTTAATATTTATTAAATGTAATGAAAGAAATAAGTATTTTGGAAAAGATTGCATTGAAATGTTTTAGTTTTGTGAGTATTATAGTCGTGACTTTAATATTTATTTATAAATTATTATTTTATTGATTTATACGATACTTTACGAGAAAAAGGAAAAATAATTTTAAGTTCCGTAGAATGAAAATGCGAATTAACTATCTTTCATTATTAATTTTTCATCACCGACGAAGCTTATGATTAAATACATTTTCTTACCTGAGATAGCGGGCTATCGTTCACAATTCTGGGTCCTCCCTTAATTCGCTGAGCTCCAATACTGGAGATTACCAATAACGTTATAAAACTTACGACCTATAAAATATTATTTATTAGAATTTATCCATAAAATAAATACATAAATTTAAAAAGCAATTGTTGACATTGCAGAAATTATTAAAATAATAATTTGAAGCCTGGTTTTTCTATTTGAAATGTGATGCTAAAAATAAAACATCCTAATTTCAATTAATAAAACTTTGAATGTTAAAAGATGAAATAAATAAAAGGTTTCAACAAGATTCTATACATAAAAGATTTCAACAAGATTCTATACATAAAAGGTTTCAACGTAATTCTATTAAATAAGAGGATATTCAAGTAGATTCCATAAATAAAAAGATTCAACAAGATTCTAGAAATAAAAGGATTTAAGAAGATTCTAGAAATAAAAGGGAGATGAAAAAAATTCCTCTCAAAAGTTATTTTTGCAATTTTTATAAACAGTATAAGTGAGTATAATTAAAAATATTTGCTCCAGTGTAAATTGGCATTGTATGGGTTTAATTTCTCAATTTTATTATTTATTTAATACTAAGAGCTAATTATGGTAACATCGACATACAAATAATAATAAGTATTATAATAATAACATGAAGATGTATTAATAAGTAAGATAATTTTAAAGAGTAATTTGCGAATGAGTGTTAGGATACTTTTTTTTTAAGTATGATCAAATGTAAATTTATATTTTAAATTAAATAAAATATCCCAGAAACCTTGGATTCTTTTTGTAAAAAACTGTAAAACAGACATTTGATTTAAAGAATAACTAATCAAACTAAGACATTTTAGTTTCTGAATTTTTTTAGATACTAAAAAAAATTATTATATTTATTTCACAACTATACGAAACCGAATGTATTATAGAGATCGAACGTTCCGACTTGGTTAATCTTGCACTAAAATTTGCATAAGAAATTTTCAATTGAATAAAACTGCATAGTTAATTACTTACATAATTTGATGCTATTAAACTTATTTTAAAATGATACCTAAATATTTTACGAATAAGTAAAAAGCATTGAATAAAGAGTATTTGAATAATTTAATGTTTCATGAGTATTCCATTCTTTTATCAAATTCAAAAATATCCTCGTTTGCAATCCATTGTTGTCAGCGACAATTCTAAATATCATATTAAGTATGTTTTACCGTTGCCAAAAGCCAAAACGGTAAAATTGTAATTTTGTTCTTTCCTTCACTTGATGCCAGATAAAGTATATTAATCCATACTTACTAGTTTCATTTTCTGGCTGGCGATGAAGTGCTAATGATTGCTGAGGAAGCAAGAAGCCAGTGATGACTGTCGGCCATTCCTTCGCTTATATACTCATCCAAAAAGATCTTCTCCGCCTGAGGTTGATTTATGTTCATCTCTGACTTGACAGTCAAGGGTCACACGTCGACAATAGTGTACGAGGCTAGGAGGTCGCAATAGAAAGTGTTCAGATGATCCTAACTTAATTGTATCATCAAGACACGTTCTTCAATGGCCAGCGAAAGGGACAGTATTGGTGTTTCGTTTCACGTGCCCTTCCCTCCCTGTTATTTGAGGTGTTGTTTCTCAGAGACAAGGACGTTGCAGGAAAGCAAAGATAGGCATAAAAATATTTAGCTTAAACCATAAATTTTTAAATATTCTTATGCTAAATTATGTGCATTTTCTTCAATTTTAAGAGAGTTTTTTAAAAAGAGAAATATTTAATACTAGTTACGAAAAAAATGCAAGATGGTTTATTGATAATGACCTTACTTTTGAAACGAAATGTATCTACTTCAGCTAAAAAAATTTACTTCAACTTTAAATTCCATTTAATTTCTTGTAGCAAAATATAAATAAATCATTCAAAAATATTAAATAAATAGATTCGTTTATTGACTCCAATTTGAAATGGAAAACCCATTTTAATGAATTAGTTAAAAACTACATTTTGTTTTAATTCAATTTCATCATTTCAAAAATAAAATTCGCAAGGATTTCTTAAGATTTTTGTACTATTCTAATAATTAATTAATAAATTATGGCATTATTGTCTGGAGTGGTAATTACGAAACAAATTTGATTCCTATTGCGTTCCTTCAAAACAAATGTTTTAAAATTTTAAATATTTTAAGCATGAAAACACCTGTATTTTTCGAAATATTTATTTACTTCCTCTATGCTATAATGTATGTTTCCGTATTTTAAGTTTTTTATTCCAAAACAAAACTACCTGCAATTTAAAATAAAATTTATCTGAAAGAAGATCAAAAGAAATTTATGAACAAAAGAAATTCACGAAACCTCTCGTTTCAACAGAGAAATTTTTTGTAAAATTTTCTTTCTACTTAGCTCTTAAACCCTTTAACATGCTACCTATTTTGTTTTGCAGTATCTAAAAACATATTCTACTTTTAAAAGTACATTTTATGAATTTATAATTATTATCGACGATATTGATCATTTTTTTAACTTTTAAAAGAAGTGGGCAATATCTTTTTTTCTTTTTACCCAGATATCTGCTAAAGAGATATATTTCTTTTAATGCAATGAAACATTTACAATTTTATATTACTTATTGTTATTATTTCATTTATACCATATGCATATGATTTCTGTTAGGTTATAGTTGTCTGCGTTTAGATTTAATTTTCAAATATGTTTTTGTACAAGTTTCAATAAGTGTGTGTATTACGCATGTGAATATTTAGTGATCCTAAATTTTCTCTATAACTTTTTCTCATGTATATTTTCATAAATTTATTGTGCGTTTCTCTTACTACTACGCTATTTGCAAAATATTTTATTGAGTTTTAGAAAATTAAAAGCTTTTAGAAATTTTTGTGAGTTTGCCAACACATTAAGAGGCTCACGACAAGAGAGCTGAAGCAAAGTGGAGTTTCATAAGAGTTTTTGAATTATTTACATGTAGTACTGTGGAAAATGACTTTAAACCAAATTTAAACTAACAAAGAATTGTACATTAAGATATAAATTTAGCTACTGATAGAAAAAAATTCTCAAAAAGGGCCGAAAGTTGGCAGCTTTGATTATGTCATGGAGACAAAGAAATTTTTAAATTGAATTTGCAAAGTTGAGAATCACGCAGTAAAATGTGCATTTTTTACAATTGGGGAAATACTCACAGTAGAAGTTATTTGTCAGGAAAACAGTAACGAATTTAACTGTTTTACTAAACTTTTTCATTTGTACTGCGAAAGTTCGTTCATAAAAAGAGTAAAAGTAAGTTTCTTTGGAATTGAAGAATGTTTGGATTCGTCCAGTCATAAAGTTCTTAAATTGGTTACGAAAATTTTCTGTGTAACAATCTGTGACCCCACATTGTTTGTTACCAATGACTCTTGTATGCCTCACCAGCATTTAGACCATTTTTTTGCGAAAAAGATCTTGCAGAGAATTGAAATGAAATTGTGAATCTCTTGATCCAAATATATTTCTCAAAGCATGTAGAAGTTGGTTGATAAAACATGGTATAAAATAAAGTTGGTACTTAGAATAAAAACATTTTTTTAATCAATTCGATTTACATTGTTTATTTTATTAACGAAGACCAGACCTTTTGACCAGATAGAATCCAAAGCTGATTTGTAAAAGTAACTTGTATTTTTGTGCCTCATTTACTTCTTAAGTTTATTTCATAAAAAGATCTTCAAGAAGATCGAAAGAGAATCCATGGGAGAAATTTTGTCTAAATTTTTCCATCGGAACATTTTTATTAAAATACTTAAATGCTGACAGACATATAATTAGTATATTTTGATTCATCTGTTTCACAGAACTTGGTATAATGCAAAACTTCCCTTGAAATATTTTGCGATCACATGTTGTTTAAAACAATTGACTTGTCTTCGCATGTTTCTCTTTTTTTCTAAAATTCTTCCACAAATTGGAAACAGAAAAAGTATTGATTAAAGAATTTTTGAGGAGAGACGTCCACCACTTTGTTAAAAGTTCTTCCAGAAAACCTATAAAAGTTGTCATTTGAAGAATTGAAATATGTTTTGATTCAACCTGTTTAACACTTTTTTGACCTTCTTTACCTTCTAAAAATTCTCGGAAACGGTTTTGGATCTCATGATATATGACGCAACAGGTCCGGTTGACATGTCATACATGACATGCTATTAGATTCTTTCGTGGAATCGAAAAAGAAAACGAATGGGTGAGAAAGAATTTTGGTGGGAGAAGTCTTCCTTCGAAAACACTTCCATAAAACCGCTATTAAAAAATTAAGGTATGCTTTGATTTAATTCATGAAGCATTTTTCGAACAAAGAGTCTCCTGAATGTGAGATCTCGTGTTTTTAATAAAAGTGACTCGTATCTACAGATTTCATTTGCCCTAGAAGTTTATTCTGCAAACAAATCTTCTACTAGATGATTAAAAGGACACTTAAATCTTAGCAAATATAGAGTTAATATTTTTTATTCATCCCGTTTTACAGTACTTTATACACTAACAAAGGATCCCTTGGAACATTTTGGAATCTTATGCTATTGGATAGAACTGACTCGTTCTGGCATGTTTCACCTATATTTAATAAAATTCTTCCACAAAATCGAAACAGAAAAAGTAATTGATCAAGAATGTTTGTAGGGAGTCTTCCACAATTTTGTGGGAAGTACATCGACTAACATTTAACCAATTAACATTTGTTTTAAATTTCTAATTAAAAAAATATCCAGGAACATTTTTGATGTCACGTCAGTTGATACAACTGGTGCGTTTTGACACGCCATACCTACTCTATAAAATTCTTTCAAGAAATCGAAAAAGAAAGAGAATCGGAGTGAAAGAATTTTGGTGGGAAGTCTTAAATCGAAAGTTCTTATATAAAACCCTTAAAAGCTTTCAATTAAAAAATTAAAGTACACTCTGATTAAATTCATTACTCTTTTTAAAATTTACGAATAAACGTCTCATGAATGTGAGAGATAGCGTTGTCTGGTAAAAGAGATTCGGTTTTGCATACTCAAATATATCAAACATTTTACCATACTATTCTGAATCCTTTTTTTTTCGTTTGGAAATAGCTAATTAATAAATTATTTATTACTCACATTCAAATTTATAGCCATTTCCAATTCTCCCTTTTTTTTCTTAAGGTTAGGTAATCAGAGCAGGGAGAACTTTTGAATCCATTATACGACAAACCCCCATTTCTTGTGCAAATAGGTAGCGTACTCCAAATAAATTCATAGAAATTATTTTGGAGAAACAGGGAGTACTCATTATATATTAATGCAATAATGCACACTCTTAAAATGAATAAGTGAATTCCCTCACTCAAAAAAGTGTGAAATTTTTTAAATTTAACTTGAGTTGAATACACCTATGTTTGAGTGAAATACTTGCGTTTAATCGAACTTGAGTGAAATATTTAAGCGATACTTGAGTTGTTTTTTGCTCAAGCATGATTTGATTAGTGAGTTATTTATTATTTAATTGTGTGCGAGCTATAAGCTGGAATTTCTATCGTTTTGCTTTAAAAAGCAAACGATAATAAATCTAAATAAAATTTTAATGTTCTACAATCTAAATAAGTTAAGTTCACGCTTCTATTTAGATTTTAATTTTATTTCTTGCAAATATGTCTATCAATATTTTGAATCAAGAGGAATTTGAATGATGTGATTAATAGCGGTATTTCTTAAGAAGACGCTGTTTTACTTTCCGTAAGTAAATATACCTGTAGTTACTATAGTTCTTATTTTTAAAATACTATTATTTACAATATGTTCTATACACTTTCCATTTAAATTAACCATTTTTCAGCGTTTTTTAAAAAAAAATACTACTAATCATTTAAATTAGTTTTCAAGAGAAATTTATTAAAATTGAAAGTGTTAAATGTAGATGATAATGGAATATTAAAACAATCTTATTCAGTGAGTGAATTTTTTTCAAATCATGTGGGGAGATATTAGATCGGTAAAGTGTTTTAGATCTCATTTTAAGATTTCAACTTTTTATTTTAATATAATGGTTTTATATCCGTGTTTCACCCTTTTTTTTTTTTTTTTTTTTTTTTTTTTTTTTTTTTTTTTTTNTTTTTTTTTTTTTTTTTTTTTTTTTTTTTTATGCATTAGTGTACTTTGGTGCAAAACAATTTTGGATAATTAGTTTCATATCATTCTAAACTTTTTTTTATAAAATCTATTTTCGTATTAATCTATTGTACATACAGTCTACACTTGCTGTTATTTATATTGCTTTCTATTAATAAAGCTGACTGTCTTTAATTTATGTTTGCAAGATTCATCCATTTGTTGGCATAAAATTTCCTACCGCTTTTCCTCAAATTCAATTTTGGAGGCAAAATTGAAAATGAAGGATTATAATTTAATTAAAAGTACAATGCTAATTAAAGTATTTTAAAATACCAATAAATTATAATTTCACAATAAAATTAATAGATAATAAGATTAATAGTAAAAAAGGGCACAG